TTGCACCTTGGTTACAGGATTACATCGCATCAACTCGTCCCATGTGCACCTTTACCAGAGTAATTCTGCCACAGTACTCAGTCTTCTCCTGCTTCAACACACACATTCTTGTCCTTGACCAACCTTCAAGCGAATCGCTTGACTCTATCCCTTCCTTTGTCCCAGATCGCCCCATAGTATTCATTAATATATGCGACTCGTTTCAGATTGTTCCATGAAAATCATCCCTTTCTAAGCCTCGTCCCGGATTGTTCCATTGAAATCATCCATTTCTGCGCCTCATCCCAGATTGTTCCATGAAAATTATCTCTTTCTACGCCTCGTCTAAGATTGTGTCATGTCAATCATTCTGTCGATAGTTGGATCGCTCGTTGAGTCTCGTCGGGAGCGCCTTCCATCTCCCATTGGATCGCTAGATCATCCGGTGTCGTTTTCTGCCAATTGATGACGTCTCAACTTGGCGGTCACCGATCCGCATCCCAAGATTGACAAGCGACTTATCTCACCCCCCCAAACCTGGTTGCAGTGCTTGTCCAGTCGACTTCCAGTGTCGGTATGTCGGATAATCTATGTTCAACACATTGACTCAGAATTGACATGCAATTGTCGAGTTCGAACGTCTTTCCAGAGGGGTGGCACAGCTGGCAAGCTCTGTAGGTAATTAATCAATAACGCTTTATAAACCTATTTAATATGACCCGAAGCTCAGCAAATACCGAATTTTGTTTGTGTCTTTTCGATGAGTTTTTAGAATATTTGTCTTAAAGCTTATATTACTGCATATTTTTTTGCACGTGTATATTTGCACTCATAGTTGTGATATGTTATTTATCAATAAAATATGGTCGTTCGATATATATAATTTTCATGGAAAAAAAAAATTTCCCAGATATTTACGAATTAAAAAATTGCCTCACGAAAAAAATAAATGTATTGCCTTAAATAATTAGAAAATAAAAAATGCTCCAGATTATTGGAAAATGAATAAAACGCCCCAGATAATCTCTAAAAAATTGCCCCACGTCCTAGTTTAAAGAATACGCTTGAGGCATCATCGTACGCTTCCTCACTGAAATAGGCTTGTGACGACGAAGTCTGCAGACATTGAAGCCATCAATAAGGGCTAAATATAAAATATCGATTTATTGGGCTCTATTGATAGGATAATGTGTTTTTTGGTATCAAACTGATAAGCAGGAAGAAAACGCAATTTTACAAGCGAAACAACATTAATAGCAACAGCAGCACCTACAACAACAGCAGCAGTATCAACATCAGTAGCAATAGCAGTAGCATCATCTACAGAGCGACACCAATAGCAACCGCATCACCTACTACAACAATAGCAGCAGCAGCATTAGCAGTGGAAGCATCAACAAACGATAGTTAAACAATAAAAGCAACCGTATCGCCTACAACAACAACAACAGCAGCAGCAGAAATAGCGGTAGTAGCATCAACAATAGATACCTAAACAACATCAGGAACGGCATGACATTCAACAACAACAGCAGCAGCGCAATAGCCAAAACAATAGCAACTGAAATAACAATAGCAAACGAAATGAAATTAATATAAATAACATCAGAACCGACTGACTGTGTTTACGACCGCGACCGATGATAAAAAAAGGCGTTTACGTACTTATATATCGCGCCTGCGCCTGCAACTAGTGGCTACAAGCGCGAAAGCCCGCAACTGGTAGCTGCAACCGCAGCACGCTCGCGGCAGAACCCTTCTTGCGGCATCCCAAACAGGTCGGGGGTTGGTCAAGGCCGTAAAATGGAAAAACGCAAATGATTATAGACGCGTGGTTTTATGTGTCCCGCATTATCATGAGTTTACTAGGACGTGGGGCATTTTTTATTTTCGTTGTTATCTGGGGCATTTTGTAATTTCCAATTACAGTCGTCCCTCCATATAGCAGACCAAAATGTGTGGTGTTTTTGCCTCGTTCCTTATTTAAAAATCTCTTGTATGGGAATTCAATCTGAATCCATTCTCAGAGATGCATCCAAGGTAAACTGAGTCTTTCGCATCGAGATCTGCTGTCTAACATGCTCGGTAATACTTGCCAGCTTCATCGTCAATTCGTTACTGTCATGCTGTAGCGAAAGAAATGATGATAGACGGAGATAAAATTCTAGAGCCTCGGATTGCCCAATCATCACCTCATCGGCACTGGCACCATCATTGTCGTTCTCAATCGCCTAATGCCGTATGACAGATAAGTATCACTCAATCTGGTCGTCTTTAACTGCATCAATGTAATAAACGACACTGACGCTGCAAGTCAAGCCTTCCATGAGCTTGGTCCCTCGTTATCAACAGATCCATTGATGCGTCTGTTAAAGTCGCGTTGTTGGGGAAGGTCGGCCATCGTTTCCTCTTCCACGATAGCACACTAGATCCAGCAGTTGCGAATCACTTGCTCGGGTACCTCCTCCCAGCTGTATATAGCGCAGCGCACAGCCTCCAGGATATTCAACTTTTGGTCGATTCTGGTGTGGATTGCATCCGGGAGCCATCGAACAAAATTATTTCTGTACCGCTTTATATGCCCGTATGATTCTTATCAGAAAAAACACGTAAAATATTGCTGGTCAAGAGAGCATTCATTCAAACTAACCTGCGTCGAGCGGTTGCAAGTGCGCTGTAATCATTGGCGGCAGGAATGCCAGCTTGACATTGTAGCTTTTAGCCGCGCCTTAGTGACACGACGCGTTGTCCAGCGAAGAATCACTCGCCTTTCGTGCATCTTGGGATCGGATTGCCGGAGCCACTCAGCAAACTTTGACCTATTTTGCCACGCAGTCTGGTCCTTGAAGTACATAAACTTCATTTGCTTGTGGTTGGCTTTGCGAAATACTTGTAGTAGCTTCGACTGGCCTATGACAACGAGATCCATCTTCTCGGTCCCGGTCATGTTGCAGCACATTGCGACTGTAAAACGATCCTTCTCTGACTTCTTTTCGTTACGCTTGACCGTTTCTAGTGTCTTATTTGGAGGCAGGCGATAAAAGAGAGCTGATTCCTCAAAATTAAATACATCTCGTGGTGAATATTGTCCAATCAGAACTTTCTGCTCCATTCGATTAATTTTCGAGTTGAGCACGATCAACTGAGTCTGCCTCTTCGTGAAGCACATGCTTCTGGATGCCGTTTTGAGTCTTAAATTTGTGCAGCCATCCATTCGAAGGCCGCAGGTCGAACTCACTTATCCCTTGAATGGCTCGGATTTAGCGACCTTCTTCTATTAGTAGATCGTCTGTGAGAATCGCTTTGCCTTCGTTATGACGATAAAATGCGAAGAGTGCATCCTCAAACGGTGAAAACAGTACCTTTCGATTGCGCTTCCTGCCCATGGCAAGGAAAGCCTTGGCTGGTGCCTGACGAATCCGTTCTGCTGCCGTTGTGGAGATCCGAATGCCGAGCTTTCCCCTTACCCAGTCTTGTATTTGTAATAGTTTTATGCCTACTGTGCCTGGGATGTGCACCTGTATCTGACGCTTTTGCTCCATAGTCAGAATCGTTCGCTTTGACGAAATGTTTGAGGTTGAACGGAAGCAAATGTGCAAATTGGCAGGCAATGTGAGACTGTGGCAAGTCCAAAATAGAGGGAAACTTGTGGTTAGTGCGCGTTGTTTTAGTACCCCATTTCTTAAGTCTCTTCGATAGAGTCAGCACACAGAATCCAAGTGACGCAGCTTGGTGCGGGACACGAAGTTCTTTAAACAGGAAATTGAACCCTCTATTAAGTCTCTTATATGGAGGGACGACTGTATCTGGTGCATTTTTTATTTATCGTGATTAAATGGGGAATTTTTTATTTTCCCTTATTTCTTTTGTCATGCGTGCTTGTGTACTTTTCAATCCTCTAGTCACTCGCTCAATCTAAATATCGCACGTGTTTAAAACAATTCGGTGACCGCGCGCCGTTTGCAATGTAAAGCTCGTATCTTTTTTTGGCAGCCATCATTCATACTTTCGCTCTCACAACAATGGCTATCATACTCTTCGAAATGTTGCATTTTTACGCGGGAAGCTTTTTTAAGTTTCTTTTTTTGGCTAACAAGACGAGCGATGCAATGCACCTACTACTTCGTTGCATGGGATGCGACGACTAAAACCTGTGCTCATACAGCTATCTGTCGATCGTCTGTACCACGTCGTCTCTTAGTCAAATGTTACATAAACGCGTACGTGGAAAAGTGACTGGAAGACTGATGACCCCGTGCGAACTCATCACACGCTACTTGTACGTCTACACGATGATGCTAGGCTGTCGGCATGATTGAGTGATAGCGCGAGCAGAACAAGATGGATCTGATAGAACCATAAAGTTTACTTCAGTCATTATCTGGCCTAGAGACGAGATCTACGGGATTGTTGAAATAGTTGTGAAATATGGTAGCGAGAGCAGCAAATGTTACGTGGAATCGTTCAATTAGCATGGCGAAGTTTGTCCACGTTGAAAACTCATGAAATGACAACTTGATGAATACGCCTAGTTTTGTGCTCCCATTTCGATTGCGATTTACATATTGAACGAAACGGCATCATAGTTTGTTCCGTTGTATTGAGGATACCTCCGAAATCAAAGGACCGTGGCGTCGGCTGTCAGTGGTGTCAAAATGGTCATTGCGGCAGAGGGTGACAATGGTCTTTGCCACACATCGCAACAAATGACAAAGAAAGCAAATGTTCATTTGATCCGTCATGACAAAGGGAGAGACTAGAGGTCGCTATTGATTCGATCTTCTATTCTTGCTGCCAAGCACACCAGAAGCCTCACAATTCCTCGTCTGCTGTGAAAGAGCTACCTTCGTGTTCCTCGTTACCAGATCTCGCCCCACGCGTGCACACGCTGCCGTGTACCCATGCAAATAGCTCTGGCGTGCGTCCACACAATTCCTACACACATCAACGACAATGTCCTGTTCCGGCACCAGCGAGTCCTGATGTCGTACGACGAAGGCGCCAACAAAATGACCCTTCTATCACTCGGTCTTCGTCTCGCCATTATCGGTAACAACCGAGTTCGAAGAATTGCCGTAGATGCGGTTATAACGACGGCGCAACTCTTCTCTGCGGCGCTCCGCCTCACTCTGTGGAGCGGGAGGAATCGTTGACGTCACAGGAAGCGGTGGCGAAAACTCATCAGCAGCATCACCTGGCAGAGGGCCTCCCTGTTGCTGACTCGGCAAGGGAGCTGGGCGCTTTTCTTCCAGACATTCCTCACGGCTATCTGTTTTAGCGCTGGCGCCTGAAGTAGTCGGACCACGTACAGCACCATTCATTGGAGATGGAAGAGCCGCAGATGCCACAGATGTAGAAGTTGCTGGAGTTGCTTCGACGGGGGCACTGGTTTGCCACTGAGTTGTTGGTAAAGAGGACGCCGACGTGATATGTTGCGATGCAAACGTGTCACTTTGCTGTACAGAACCAGGTTGTGCCGCTGCTGCTTGAAGCATCGCCAGCTGAGCTTGCAGGAGATTGATCTGTTGCTGAATGCTGTCCGGGTCTATTGCTGGCTGTTGCAGACCTTGCTGTGACTGAGCTGGCATGTGGCCCAGCGGCGACATGCCCGGCACCATGCCATACGCCCCCGGCATCCCAAAACCGAATGGCGGCCCCACGCCAGGAACAAACATCATCGGGTACATGTACGGGTTAGGATAACCAGGAGCGAACAAATTACCGGGTGCAGCTGCAGGAACATCGCCGTAACCTGGCGGTGTCGTATCTGGAGCCGCTGCAGGAGTTGTCGTACCAGACGCTTCGGATTCACTGCCCGGCACAGCCGCACGTCCAAACGCTACCCCGAAACGGAAGCGTGGCGCGGCACGCACTTGAGCATTAGCTGCCGGATTTCCTTCTGCTACCGGTCGACCTGCATTGTTGTTTTCTGCAGCGGGTCGTGCAGCACGAGCCGCCGCCCCTTCAGGAACAGTAGTAGGGTCCGGATGGCGCGGCCCTGTCGGAATGGTGGACCGGCACGTAGGGCAAGTCTGTTGGCGCTGAACCCACATCTTGAGACAGTTGACATGAAAGATATGCGAGCATGGTAGCTTCTTGCAAACATCTGGGCTCATCTCCTCCCGACAAATGATGCACGTCCTGTCCGTTTCCTGAAGTTCCAGCTCTGTCGGATTCGGAAAGCGCTCATTCAAATGGGCGGTAATTTTTCGGTAGCGAAAGTATGACGCAATACGCCGCTGTAGATTCTTGAAGGAAACCCAGAGATCACGCACGATGTGCAGTGGCATGCCATAGTACGCGAAGATCAGCATGAAAAAGATCTACATCAATTCATACGGACAAAAGCAACCTGCAATGAGCATCTGACCCTAGATCCACAACGTACACGAGCTCATGAAAATTGTCGTACCAGGTACACGACAAGCTTTACCACTTCAGACACAAGCTCCAGGTAAAAGAGGTATGTGAACTTGTTTGTCCATGAACCGTCCATCCGAGAGTCCACCGCATACAGCACGTAGCGCAAGGACGTGGCCACAATAGTCACCAACAAGATAAGAAACTACGCAGCAACCAATGTTGTCAGATCAGATCGCGCATATTCACTGCATTCAAGCAGTGGACAAAAAGCTGTCATCCTACCTCAAACCCGAATAGAATGATGACGGAAGGCCCAGTCTCCATAATCTCAAGCGAGCACCACACCACAAACCCCGTGTCAACTATCGCAAGCACGCCCATGAGCCCTGAGAGCCGCACGTGCGTTAATTGAGTAACGGTATCCGTTTGTTCGATCTACCACCAAATCACAAAGTTAGCGATTCCAGCACATCATCGAGCATGGAAATTTTATGTATATACATGAGAGCAGTTCACGTACAAACTCAATCCGAGACTGTGCAAGCCAATGAAAGATCTTGAGGTACACGAGCGCCGCGAACAGCACCATCACGTGAAACGAGATCTCGTCACGGAAGATCGTGAGCGCGAGACATGTCTCAGTCACAGCGTAGCGCACATTCTCGTGCAGCAGCTGCAGCACCGCGTCAATGTCACACAGTTAAAGGGGCGACCGATACAAAGTACAAAAGCCTGCCCTTACCTCCACTTCCACTTCCCGCAGCGTCCCAAGGAAAAACGACTTGACCAGGCGGCCAAAGAGCGTCGTAAGCACTAGAGCAGCGTTGCTCAGCACCAGCACGCTGACCTTCGAGGTCACGAGGTAGATCACCGACGGGTAGAAGTGCTCTCGCGTCACGTACGTGTAGCACAGGAGCCCCACGCACGCCGCGAGACTCGCGCTGGAGTAGAGCCAGAACTTCATCGCGTTCGAAACGAATTGTACGTGGCAGCAGTGCGCTAACTGCAAAACTTGAGCTACTGCGCGTTTTATAAAGTACGAGAGGTTTTCTTTTTCGAGAAGTGGTAGTACTCCGCCAGGGACTTTGGTTCAGTGCGTGGGACTTGCTTCACTATTTTCTTACCGTTAAATGTGGAGATAAGGCAACAGAAACCTATGACAAAGCATAAACGAGCTATGCCACGGTCTCGCGTGGAAAATGGACGTCGGCAACGTATAGCTGTTTAAGCATGAACGTAACCTTGTATGCTGCTACGTCTCCCAGCGATTCTCGCGAGTTGGGAGCTGCTGTTCACTCAGTATAAACCTGCGAGCATGCGAGTCAGTTTTAATTTTTTGTAGGAGGGACGTGGCACACGAAGAACACGAATGGAACCTGACCAAAAGAGTGGCACAACCCGGGACTGTTTTTATTTCGTAGTGGGTCTCGTTCTCACGCAATTCGCTTACTTCGGTTTGTAGATTCTTGTCATGAGTCGACGAAGGAGCGCAAGATGACTGGTCCGATAGATCCCAATTTAGACAAGATTGCCGACGTAAAAAAATTGAGACCAGTGACACTATGATACTGCTTACCTCCGCCTATAATCTCGCAGCTACCGTCGACCACAAATTTTCGATCACATTCAGAGTAAGTATGCGCGCTGTATATCTCTCCGCCTTCGCTTGATGACCTTTCAAGAAATCTGCTGTCAGCTCTGATCGGTGGATCCACGCCTTGTCTTGCTGGAATGTGTTGTGGTTCCGTATCGCAAATAGGCCAACGGAAACAAGGATACCGACAGAGAATCACTTTTGGTATTAATTCTTACCTCCTCTGCGATTACGACCATCTCAGACTCTCTTGTTGCACTACATTCAGCCCAATCAATGACTTATCCACTCTAATTCTACCTGAGGACGGCTTGACCAAGTGAGTAGCACAGGTCACGCCAGTAGTCTCTGAACCATCGAATCCGTCGACGGCAAGCTATTTCTCATCCGATACAGAGACTGCGTCCTAATTCATCTCAACTGTCACTGGACGATTGGCCCAGAGCTGCAGTGTCATATTTTGCATTGACATGAGAGGAAGAGCGCACTATATTATAATTCTATACAAGCCAGTCAGCACCAAAGAGGACGCGAACGACGATGCGCGTGGAGTACTTACGTTTATAATAAACGAGACAAATGGGTGGTCATTTTATTGCCGCACCGAGCGACCTGCCACTTATGCTTATCAACCCCCTCCCCTCTCGGCTAGCTGGAATGCATTGCGATTCGCTCACACGTGGGTGAGCGCTTGACTTGTCGCGCGTCCTATTCTTCGTAATTTACAGAATCACTCAGTCAGCGTGTTCTTCCCAACTTCTCGTTTAATATATTATTCATTCTGTAGATTGCTTGAAGTGTACCACAGTCTTCCAAGCAAACTCTGCAATCTTTATTAGTATATCAACACACTTTAAGATCTAAATCGATGTGGGCGACCTATTTTCGATGAGTCATATTCGTGTCACTGTATAGATCCCCTGCGCACTGTTGAAACCAGGTCGATTACATGTGTACTCCAATCAACACGCTTCCAAATCAATCAGACGCAAACAGCAGCTCTTATTTTGCAGAAATTGATGAGATAGACAGCCTGAACAAGAGCATAATTGTGGCGCATCTACTACAGCTCATAAGTAGAGGAAGGATTTGGGCCTAATAATCCACTAAACAGTTGAAACTGGCAGAGTGTCCCTTTTTTTATAGATTCAAGCTATCATAAGGTCGAGACTAAAAGAGTCACAGCCAACAATGCAATTAATTATGTCAAGGTCAAAATTATAATTGCTTTCAATTCATCGCCTTCATAAGGCTTGCACTCTTCTGCTCATACAAAAATTGATTGTTATGTTATTTGACTTTTATGGTAAGCGGTGGAACCCCCACACATTTTATTTGATATAATATAAGCTACATATTGTAGTAAAGCAGATAAAAATGCCTCTTGTGTACACTGTGCCTATGCGGCGACGATACTTCACCAGGCAGTTATGCTACGCTTATGAGTACCCATTGTACACGAGGAACAGCTTTGACACATGTCAATCGGATGCGATGAACGTGAATAAATAAAGGATGTTGATGCAAACAGTCAGTAAAATCACCGACGGAGGTCTCTGTAGTATACTGTGGGAGACGATAGCAATTACACGCAGGAAAAAGGTGGTAGTTTTACAGAATTTATTATGTGCAAAACCCATAAAATAACTTACATCAAAAACGGAAGCTGGTTCTCGGGAAATCGATGCCGAAGTAGATGATTAATATGTGTCAGCCCTACTTATGCCCTTTCCATTTCCATCGCTGAACGTATTATATACGACAAGGTGCACGTACTGCAACTTAACTCTTTCTTCGTTTCTGTTTTACAAAAGCTAACCATCGTAAAATTTGTTTCAATCCATGTAGCGTTGAGCCATTAGCAAGAAAAGATATCTTGACGCACAATGATATATATTACATGGCTTCGCTCTTCTCGCTATAGACGACTTGTCCTGCAATTAGCACTTTTTCGAATAAGAGACTTAGTTTCCTACTTCGGTGGCAGCTTGATTGACAACCACTGCCCACGTTATTGTCTCCTCCCGTGTTCTAGCATATACTTAATCATGTTCGTCTTGTCCCTTCGGCCTTGTACGTTAGTCGTGTACCGTCGGCCTTGTCCCGTTGGCCTTGTTTCTTGTCGGTAAGTTTGTCGCATATTACTTCACGCTTCCTTCGACGCTTAAGTCGGAACAGCCGACAAAGGCAAAGGCTGCAAGCCGACACGTTCTCGACCGACGTACATTGTTCTCTTGGGAATTGATTTCGTATGCATGTCCGCTAAAATGCTAGCCTCATCAACTTTTTGAGTCTCAATGATCCGATCCGAATATGGTCTTGCAAATAATGCCATCGATATATGATGTGGCTAATGCTGCTACCGTATTGTAAATGGAAATCCAAATGCACAGCTACAATTTTGTCAACGCCTATAAGCAGCACTATCAAATGTCAAGACAGTGTAGCACCTCATACAGCATTTTCGCAATGCCTCTACCCTTCATGGCTGCTTCACATGCGGCTGCGTGCTCGGCCACAACTGTTTATTAGGCAATTATAGACTGACATCTCGCATCCCATGCGATGGCCCACCTTTCATTGTCTATGCGAAACCAGTGGCACTATTTTTGTGTTAGGATCTTTGCCCCAATCTGCATCGCAATATCCATTTACGATGTCGTTGTCATTTTCCTATGTTCCTCTTGCATATTTGGTATCCAGAGTAGATATACCAGTCATATACCTCATGATTCGCTTAACAGCACCACGGTGTTTACGAGAAGCCTTGCTCACAAAACGGCTCAGATATCCAATTGCAAAAGCGATGGCGGGTTGCGGGCTTACGGTTAAGTATATCAATACTACTATCGCCTGTCGATAGTCATGTGTTGGTTCTTGTTCGTCCAATTCTTCGATGATCTTGCTATGTTTAAAATCTATCTCATTGGAGTTGCGCTGACATGCTCAGTGCTGAATATAAATCGGTTCAAGTTCTCGTTACAAATTTGGACTGACAAATGGAAGTTTTCTCGACCGTTCCACAAAACTTGAATCTCTAGCCATCAATTATATCAGTTACCGTCTTTTTTTAATTCATATTTAGAATTACAGGCTTTAAAGAGGATTGACTTGTAGTTCTCTGAGTTCGTCGCGATCACACATCGTCTACGTAGAGCATCATAAAAGCAACCACACCTCCCTTGCTGTAGACGAATGGGCATAGCTTGTTTTCTCAATTTGTGATTTTTTTAATCTCAAATTAGCATTGATCTCTCCATCCATTCGGTTTCGGACCGATGAGGTCCATGTTGAGCTCGATCGACACGGTATATTAGCCTTTTGGCATGTAAAAAGTTGGAAATGGTTGATGGTGATGTTTTTTCAGATTAGCGACCAAAAAGGCGGTATCTACATCACCTCGGTACAATATTATACCGAAATTGGTGGCTAGCGCGGTCAGTTGGTGAAGTGTGCTCATCGTGCAACTGATGGGGACGACGTCTCATCAATAGTCCTCATCGGTTTATGGTTCGCCGAGCCCAATATTCGGGGCCAAAATTTGGGTATGTACCCGTCGTCATCTATGTTGACTTAAAACCGCCACATCAAGCCCAATATGTTTGCGTTCTTAGGTGCGTCCTTTCCATCGATTGGACCCATCATATCTTATACAAAATGAATCCATCACCTCATTTTATATGCCTATGTAAGACTCAGCATGCTAAGGAGTTTCATCGCTTTGCCAAAGATTCATGGAAGTGTCACCTTCGCAATGTGTCACCGTCGTAAATCGTCAGCGTCATTTAGGACGCCGTATAGAATTGTTGCATTGACGTGATAGTCACCTAGACATAACGTAGGTCTGCTATCAGCAGACCGGCGACATCCTCGAGTTTAGCTTCGAGCAAAGGCCGTCTTATGTGACAGTATTTTTTAGAGTTACCATATCCCAGAAGTTTGGCTCACTGTTATCATTATTTACATTGAGTGTTTATCTCGATACTTGGTATAGCCTTTGTTGTTGCCCCTTAATGTTTCTTCTCGATTAGCGTCAATAGGTACAGAACTATCGTGACAACCAACTTGCTTGGAATCTGGTAAATAATTTAAGTAGTCTGCTTTATTCTGAAAATTGTTGTTAGTGCTATGTTTGTCAGTCTCTTCTTCTCTCGCTTGTTCATATGCTTTGGCACGATGATTTTTTTCTAGCTGCATAGATGTAGCTGTGACTCACAGCGTCATCATTGACTGCTTTAATATTATGATCTGTACGTAGGCAACAAACGCTACACCTAGTTACGATGATTAAGTGGAGTGAAGGTTGACAGAATAGGTACAATTATCATACCATTATCATCAGAGCTGTTGCTCTCGTCCTCTGTATGAAT